GCCAGGAAGAGTTGACAAGAGGAGGAGGAGTCCTTTATAGAAGTAGAAGAGATGGGAAATGAGGACTCCTGTTGACTAAACTGAATGTTTTGAATACCTTGCTGAAGCTTCAGAGAGCCCAGAAAATTTTTGAGGCCCAGATGGTCACAGTGGCTTGATGGGGGGGAGGGGGGAGACGGAGTTGGAGAGAATGGCTACCTTCTGCTGATTGCCTCATAGCCATAGCATGCCCATGCCACAGATGTATCCCACATATGTACTCACCACATAGGTACAATGTGTGTGCATACACTTTTGTCTCAGGCTGCTTTAACAATATGCCATAGACTGGGTAGTGTATAACAATCAGCATCTATTTCTTGGTTTTAGATGCTGGGATTCAGTGGTTGGCAGGTTCAGTGTTTGATGGGCATGTTCCTCACACACAGTGTTTTCTGTCTTCACATGGTGAAGAAGTAAGGGGTCTCTTTAAAGGCCTTTTAGTGAGGACATTATTCATCTCATTCATGGGGCTGCATTCCTTTCACCATCCTTTACAAACCTCACGTTTTGACTCTGTCATGGTGAGGGTGGGACTGTACACATTAATTTTGGAAGGATGCGATTTTCAGACCATAGCACACACATGTGATCCTTCTTCTGATGACCCAATGGATAGTGGAGGCCACAGGAGGGTGATGAGGTCACCATATCTGGGTTGACTGAGGCTGGCAAGGATGCTGGACATTGTCACCTATGCATAGTGTCAATAATCTTCGCATCACATTATACAGGATCATGGTAAATGTTTATAGTTCGGATGGTATCGATTGCAAGAAGTGCAGAAGAATAGCCTGGCTTAGGGGAGAGAGGTGGCCTGGCAACACAGGGTCTAGCTCTGCTCTGGTTGTGACCTTGGGAAGCCAATCCTCCAGCTCCCTTCCATCATGTAGCAAATGCCTGTGGTAATCACACTTTCTTGGGAAAGAAATGAGGGCAACACATATAACCCATTGAGTTATAAATCTAGCTCCAGCTGGGGTTTTGTCTTGTACAAAAACCTTTAGGTTAAGGATTTAGTCTTATTTTACTTACCTTTTATCATATGTGGTACTAGATAGTCTAAACCCCAAATTGTCTTTGAACCTTTGTTTTTTAAAACTGAAGAAGCTTGAGCTCATTTCAGTGACTGTTTGCCTAGCATGCATGAGGCTGGCTGGCTGGGTCCCTAACATTGAAAACAGTAAGCAGAAGGAGAGAGGTCCTTTTGTTTTGAGTGACAGGACTTCAGGACCTAACAAAGTAGGTTAGGCTCCTGTCTTGTTCCTATTTCCTGAGATGATGATGGTTCCTGGTGACAATACCAACCACGCCCACTTATTGCAGGTGATTCTAGTTTCCTGGCTTGCCTCTCTTTGTGGTGCCAAGCACTGCTGGGAAGGTTTAGCAGCGCAAACTGCTGTGTCTTCAAAGAAACTCAAAGTTTGTGGCCCATAGTGCCCAGCAGGATGTGGGGCCTGTGCTCTCTCTTTGTCAAGAGCCGTCTTGTCCCATGCTCATCAGGAATGGAGTGGGAGCTGCAGTGAGACTTGGTTGCTGACTCACTGTCTCACTCCTACCCCTGATGCTGAAGCACTGGTACTCATCCCTTTCCTCCCCCGCCTCCTGCCTTCCTGGGCCTACAGCTGCAGGGGTGGCCTTGGGTGGGGCCCAGAGCCACCTATGCTTGACAGGACACATATTTTTACATACTGTCGGCTGGAAATAATCAACTTTATTTAAAGAGAATGTGGATTCTGAATGCTATAAAAAGTAATCAGCAACCTGCTAGGGCTGTTTTAGGAGCAATTTTCCTGCCTACTGTAGATAGGCTGTGAGGCCCATGCAAGGAGACCTGGGGTATGTGCTGGGAGGACATAGTGGGAAGGTAGACTAGCAGGTCCCAGGCAACAAATAGAGTCCCCAATAGGAATGCACAGCTTTGGGGCCCCTGATATGGGGTCAGGCCAAGACTGGCAGCCTATCTCCCTGAAGAAGTGCGCTCACATGCTATATACTGATGTTTGCCTGAGGATCTGATATGTTAGAGCAGCTATCCAAGGCCTTTTCCCTAGTATAGGCTCTTCTCCCACCTTTTGAGAAGTCATTGTGCTCATTCCTGGATCTCTGGCAAGTACGAGAGCCATTTTGGTTTTAATTTCATGTGGTGAAGACATTTATGTTTTCATATTCTTTTTAAAAATATTTGTTTGTGTACCAGTGATTTGCCTTTGTGTATGCAAATGTGCTGTGCCTGCAGAGGTCAGAAGAGCAAGTTGGATTCCCTGACTACTGGAGTACAGATGGTTATGAACCATCATGTGGGTACCAGGTCCTCTGCAAGAGCAATAAGTGCACTTAACCGCTGGCCCATCTCTCTAGCCCGTGTTTTCATATTTTGTCTGTTTTAGCATGGTAACCTTGATAGGGCTGTCGGTGGAGTAGGATATTTCTCCCTACTTCCCAGATGTACAGGTACCCTGGGTTTTTGTGTTTTTTGTTGTTGTTGTTGTTGTTGTTTTGTTTTGTTTTGTTTTTTTAAGATTTATTTATTTTATGTATGTGAGTGCTCTGTTTTTCATGCACACCAGAAGAGGGAATCAGAGTCCATTAGAGGTGGTTGTGAGCCACCATGTGGTTACTGGGAATTGGACTCAGTACCTCTGGAAGAGCAGCCAGTGCTCTTAACCAGTGAGCCATCTTTCTAGCTCTACCCTTTTTTTTTTGTTTTTGTTTTTGTTTTTGTTTTTTAAGATACCACTCCACATTCATGTGTGTCATGTCAGGTGTGAGCCCAGTACTACCACTGGGGCTCATGTGGGACCCTGTGGAAGCTCGGTAGCTGGGCAGTACTTTTCTTGCTGTGTTTGATTTCTCTGTACTTCATTTCAGGGGACTTTAGGAGCTGCGCTTAGGCTACTGCATTGGCCTACTGGGATGGCCACTGGGTCCTGGGGCCACAAGTACATCATTGTTTCTGTTTCTGTTTGTTGAAGTAGTTGTAAAATGTTAACGTATTGTAGGGAATTTGGATATTACCCAAGGAAGTAAAGAGGTCAGACTCTATCTTATCACAAAAATCAAATCTGTGTATGAATGTCTACTCATTTCCTCTACCATATATAGAAGTTGTATGTCCTTTTTTGTTTTGGTTTTGTTTGTTTGTTTTTTGTTGTTGTTTTGTTTTGAGACAGCTTCTCTGTGTAGCCTTGGCTGTCCTGGACTCGTTTTGTAGATCAGGCTAGCTTCGAACTCACAGAGATCCTCTTGCCTCTGCCTCCCGAGTGCTGGGATTAGAGGTGTGCCACTGTGCCCGTATCTATCCTTTTTTTAACCTCTTCAGTTTTTTGTTGTTGTTGTTGTGTTAAAAGCTTCTCCCATACTGTTGGTCTAAAATACTTCACCTGTTCTATACATTTTTCATGTTTTGGTGCCCTCTTGTTTTGTTTGGCAAGTCATCAAGCCAAGTGTGCTCTGTGGTTGTGAGCTCCTGTGTGTTTTCTCTGTGCTGCACAGTGCCTCTCCTTGAACAGTTTCACATTTCTGTCCATGCTGATTGGTCATTGCCTGGTCTTCACAGTAGTGAGTGCTGAAGTTTTGAATATCATCTCTGACAGAAGCTCATTTCCTTGGCTACTCTGCATCAAAGGACTGAGATCAGGTGTGAGCTGACTCTCATTCATTCCTCAGGGCTGTAGGAAAGGATCCTCTGCCTCCTTCTAACTTTGAATAGAGGCCCACAGTTCTTGCTCCATCATTCTACTCTCTGCCTGTTCCTCATGGCTGCCTTTACATCTTTTTCCTGGGAAAGTCTGTGTCCAAAGTCTCTACTTTAAGAACAGTAGTCATAGTGGGTGAGGGTCTACCTTAATGATCTGATTGTAACTGAATCACTTTTGAAGTCTTAGGGGTTAAGACTCAAGAATATAATTTGGTAGGACACAAATCATCTGTGCCTAGCCATGTTGGAGTATAGGTCTCTTGAATAGATAGAGACATGGGTAAAGATATTCTTGAGTGAGAAAAACATGTCCTCTTTAATCACCCCTCCCCTAGTCCTGGTCTTGTTTCTGTGCCAAGACAAGCGTAGGTACCTGCAGCTCCGTGCTTTCTAGAGTGAGTGGAACTGCATGCATACCTCATAGTGTGTGGATCTCCCTGCCTGCCTCAGTGTGTCTGCTGCTGTTGCAGCACGCTCTGAAGACTGCTGAGAATGTTCTGCTTCCTCCTCTACGACAAATTGAGAGATCCTCAACTCATTTAGTGGACTTGTGAGTCTAGACTCATCTTTAAGGCATCTATATTATTAACATTGCTAAATTGTATGACAAAGTTTGTGTTTTATCTTCATCGTCTGCTTCCTGGCTAGGCCTTTTTGTACTTTTGCTGGGTTTGTAATGGAGGTATGTAATTGGATTTGGTTGACTAGGTTTTTTTAGTCTACCTCGTTCTAAATGGATTGCTTACCTCTTACTAAATATGTGTAGTTTTAATGCACTCTTTGTGGCTTTGATTTACTTATTAGGAGGGAAGAGAGGCTTAGTGTTGGATTAGGACTAGAATCAAACAGTTGCAGAATAGAGTTTTTTTGTATTTGTTTGTGTTTTGTTGTTTTGTTTGCATTTTTGAAAAGGATAAGTTCTGCTCAGCAGTTCATCAGACACACCCTATACTCATGAGGAGGGATTTTCTTAACCAAGGTGCCTGTCTGTTTAACAGGCTTGGTTCTGACAGGGCAGCAAGAAGAACTATGATTTCCTGGGAGACCACATAGGAGTGTCACAGAGGAAATTGCTCCCAAAGGGACTTTAACAAATGTAGACAGGAAGTAAACTGTGTGTGGTGTGTGCTTGTGTGCGTGCGTGCATGCGTGTGTGCGTGCGTGCGCAGGACATAGGAGTAATATATGTGAAGATGCCTTGGGACTTCTCTGCTTCGATTTGTTTGGGTGTATCTCACCTTTTTTTTTTTTTTCTTTCTAGGATTCAGGAGCAATTCCAGAAAAATCCCGACAGTTACAATGGTGCCATCCGTGAGAATTATACCTGGTCTCAAGACTACACTGACCTGGAGGTCAGGGTGCCAGTGCCCAAGCATGTAGTGAAGGGGAAGCAGGTAATGGCCTGTGGGCAGGGTCTTCACTGCAGCCAGTCTGAGCTCCAGGCATGGAGCGAGCATGGCTGCAAGAGGGTTAGGATTGGTTTTGGGGTATGAGACCTTGTCCCCCTTTTGTTGTCCTTGGCCTTTGCGTCTTCAAGTTTCCCTGGGGTACTGCACCCTGTTCTTAGTCTAAGCAGCCATAATCTGGAGAAAAGCTTACAATTGATGGTCTAGCCTCTTACTAATGACATGGCCATTCTCTGGGCCTCCTTGTAGACAGCTAGCCTCTTGGTTTTCAAGAGCAGATCCAAACATTACCTTAACAAAGTCCGCCTTCAGCTTTGCTAGAAAACTCCAGTTAGCTGACCTCATAGTTGCCTTGCTGTGGTGACTGTCTTGTCTGTTCACTGCTATGTGGCCCAGAGCTTCACACAGAATGGGGAGCAGAGCCTTTTTATGTACTCTGGAGGTAAATACATACTGAAATTTAGTCTTGGGTCAGAGAATGTGAATTTGTGTGGATGTTCTTAGACTCTGACACTGTCCTGAAACAGTGCACGACAACACAAGAAGAAAGGGCAGGCACTCCTCACTGTCCCTGTCTCCCATTGTTGCTGGTTTCACATAAATATGTGTTGAGAGCAAACTTTCCTGTCTACAAGCTTCTTTGCTGATGTTGGCTAGAGATCACCAGAGGACGTTCCATTTCTGTGAGGTTTATTGGTTTGGTGTTACCTGATGTACTATACCTTGTCAGTGCTTAGGTTCATTGGCCAGGCCTGTCACTTCTGGGTGCTCATGGAAAGATAGTCCCACTTCCTCAGGCACAAGTTCTATGATGTACACATTTCTCCTTTTGTTGACAAACAAAGCTTATTTTTTTTTCTTCAAACACAGATACTCTCTGTAACCCCCTCCTCTTCCCCGAAAAAACTGTGCCAGGTTATGCATGATACCAATTACAGTTCCGGCCTGTCTCAATGCCTGAGCGCAAGACTAAAGGAGTTGGGCAGGTTACACTTTCTAAATACTGTGGAGGGTGGAGTCAGGAGGATTGCTGGGGCTTGTTAGCCAACCAGCTTACCCCCAAGTTCAGTGAGAGGCTCTGTTTCTAAGGAATAAGGCAGAGTGATAGAGTAGGACTCAGGACCTTTTCCTGTGGCCTCCATGTACATAGATGGACGTTACCACCATCCCACCCCACACATACATATAAATCTAGGCTTCAGTGACCAAATGAATGTCATGGCTGTGTCCTGTAGTTCTTTTATAGGGCAGGAGCTCTGTGAAATTGCCAATGTAGGTTTATTTCTGAAACTTCTGTTTAGGACATAACTTTTTAGAGGGAGAGAGAAGTGTGTTTAGGAAACCTTAGTAGAAATAACATTATTACAGATTGTTAAAAATAAGCAGGATTTGCATAAATAATCTCAGGTAACAGATCCAAATAGGATATTACCGATTTTGAATTCATATTATAATAAAGTTTGGCATATGTGAGAAACTTTCCTTATTTTTTATTTTAATTTTTATTAATTACAGTTTATTTACTTTGTATCCCCCTGTAGCTCTCTCTCTCCTCCCCTCCCAATCCCATGTTCCCTCCCTCTTCTCCACCCATGCCCCTCCCCAAGTCCACTGATAGGGGAGGTCTTTCTGATCCTCATCTATCAGGTAACTTTCCTTATTTTAAGGAAAGTTTTAAACTTATTTTAAACTTTAAGAGAACCTTAAATATACAAAGCAATCCTGTGTTTTATAGATGATAAATTAAGGCTGAGAGAAATAATCCAGTGTTGGCTCCCTTGTTACACCCAAACTGGGCCTTTAGATATCTATTTGAAAGGATGAATTGCTGAATAAATAAAGGACAAAACTATGCTTTGACAGATGTGTCTGTCTCTAAGCTTAGACTTCAGTGTGGGTCTTACCTCTTTGTAAGTTCCTAACTTCATGGAAGGTGGGGTTGTGTGGAACACGTAACACGGAAGTCAAGTTATACTTGTTTTTTAGGGGACAGTTTGCTCTGACAGTGGGGACAGCTTGACTGTCACCCTACATCTCACATGGTGACAGTCCACCAGGCTCGGTTCACTCTTACCTGTTTTAGATGGTTTGGGTCAGGTGCTTACTACCTTTCTGAGGTTGTTTGCCTCACTAACATCTTCTTGGGAGTTAGTAGGTCAGGTGCTGACTTCCATTTCATTTGGTGGTAGGAGCACCAATAAATTACGAACAATTATGAAATTATATGGACTAGGGAGATAACTCAGTTGACAAAATGCTTGCTCAGTGAGGATGTGGATCTGAGTTCAGGTACTTGGCACACACATAAAAAGCCTTAAGCCATATTGTTTGTCTGTAATTCCAGTGCCAGGGTGGCAGAAGTGGAAGGGTCTGGAGGATTTACCAATTACCCAGCATAGCTGAATCAGCAAGCTCCAGCTTCAGTAAGAGACTCTGTCAAAAAATAAGGTAGTGAGCAAAATAGAGGAAGATATCCAACATCAAAATACACACACACATGCATATACATGAATGTATACCCCCTTGTAAAAGATAAACTTAATAAATTATTTTTAATTTTATTTTAAATTATGCTTATTTTTGTGTTTGTGTATGGGTATTGTCTTAGTTAGAATTTTATTGCTGTGAAGAGACACCATAACTATGTCAAGTTTTATAAAAGGAAACATTTAATTGGGGCTGGCTTGCAGTTTCAGAGGTTTAGTCCATTGCTGTCATGGCATGAAGCATGGGGGAGCTCAGGCAGACAGTGCTGGAGAAAGAGCTGAGGGCTCTACATGTTGATTCGTAGGCAGCAGAAGTAACTGTGAGCCACAATGGGGGTAGCTTGAGCATAGGACACCTCCAAAAGCCTACCCCACAATGACACATTTCCTTCAATAAGGCCACACCTAATAGTGCCACTCCCTGTGGGCCAAGCATTCAAACACATGAGTCTATGGGGTTCATTCCTATTCAAACCACCACAGGTATGTACATGTAAGTTGTAGGTGCTCCCAGAGCCAGAAAGATGGTATTGGATTCCTTGGAGCCGGAGTTACAGGCAGTTATAAGCTACCTGACATGGGTGTTGGGGATTGAACTCATTCTCTATGGAAGAGCCTCACTTCTGAAGGTTTCTCTGAAAGGCTTCATAGTAGGCCCAATTTAAAATTAGTTTCTCTTTTCTATGATTCAGAAATTCCTGTGTTGGCAACACAGACAGCTTCTAGGGACATAGGCTTCAGGTATACTGGTTTACTCTTGGGAGTAGGAGCCATGGGTTCTGTGATTTGGAGCTGCTGCTACACATTGTAGTTTAGACCTCTCTCTCTCTCTCTCTCTCTCTCTCTAGTGTATTTGTTCTGATCTCTGTGGTGGTGCAGTCCTGCTTTTACTAACTTTCCATGGGTCTGGCTCATTCTTCTGTGGACAGTGTCTGAGTGGTGTTACCAAGATAGATTGTTGGCATCGAATATTTGTCTCTTTTATTGCAGAAGCAGTAGCAGTTAGCAAAATGGTGGTCTGTGTATGTCCAGCACAGGTGGAATGCCCATCTCAGGGGGTCCTTTGGCCTACCATGCACTATGTACTCATGGGAGCCCTGCCAACAGCCAAAGCTACCTACACCCAAAGACTTGGCTTTTTTTTTTATTAGATTTTTATTTTTTATATTAATTACAGTTTATTTACTTTGTATCCCAGCTGTAGCCTCCTCCCTCATCCCCTCCCAATCCCACTCTCCCTGCCTTATCTCCTCCCATGCCCCTCACCAAGTCCACGGATAGGGGAGGTCCTCTTCCCCTTCCATCTGACCCTAGCTTATCCGGTCTCATCAGGACTTGTTGCAATGTCCTCCTCTGTGGCCTGGTAAGGCTGCTCCCCCATCAGGGGGAGGCAGTCAGAGAGCTAGCCACTAAGTTCATGTCAGAGAAGTCCCTGTTCCCCTTACTAGGGAACCCACTTGTATACAGAGCTGCCATGGGCTACATTTGAGCGTTTAGTTATAGTTTAGCTTGTAGGTTTTATCCGTGAATGGTCGTTGGTTGGAGTATCAGTCTCAGAAAAGACCCCTGTGCCCAGATATTTTAGTTCTGTTGCTCTCCTTGTGGAGCTCCTGTCCTCTCCAGGTCTTACTATGTCTCCCTTCTTTCCTAAGATTCCCTGCACTATGCCCAAAGTTTGTTTATGAGTCTCAGTATCTGCTTTGATACACTGCTGGGTGGAGTCTTTCAGAGACCCTCTGTGATAGGCTCCTGTCCTGTTTCCTGTTTAAAAATATGGAACGCTTCACAAATTTGCTTGTCACCCTTGATCAGGGGCCGTGCAAATCTTCTCTGTATCATTCCAATTTTAGTATATATGTTGCCGAAGCAAGCAGGACTTGTTTTTTTGTTTTGTTTTTTAAAGCACTATGGCAGGCTGAGGGGCTTTCCAGATTCTGCTGCCCACGTTAATGTTGACATTTTGTGACACCTACTGATGTTGTTTGCATTGTTGCTTTACCTGTGAAGATCCTTATCTCCTACATGGTAGGAAATTTTCTTCTTAATATTTTTCCATGTTATAGTTAACAGTATCACATATTTCTTTTACAAATCCCCAGTCTGCTTAACGTAAGACCTGAAACTATTAGAATAAAAAGTCGGGAAAACTCTTAAAGAAATAGACATAGGAAGAACTTTCTGAATGGGACTCTTTCACTTGGAAATAAGGCCAGTATTGACAAATAGCATCTCATGTACTTAAAAGCTTTCCACACAGCAAAGTTAGCAGTTACTTGGATGAAGAAACAGCCTACAGAATGGGGGGGGGGGGGCAATTGTTAGCTATGCCCTGGACCGAAGATTTAATATCTGGAATATAAAAGAATTTAAAAAAAAAACCCAAACCTAAATGACAAGAAATCAAACAATTCAGTCAGTAAATGGACTAATGAAACAGACTGAGTCACTGACTGGCACTAAACATGTATTGCTAATAAACATGAAAAAATGTTCATCAGTCATCATACAAATGCAAATCAAAACTACAGTGAGACATTGGCAGGCACACCTTTAATCCCAGTACTTCAGAAGCAGAGGCAGGTAAATCTCTGAACTCCAAGCCAGCCATAACTTCATAATAAGAGCTTGTCTACAGAAAACAAGAAGAAAGCTACATTGAGGTTGTATTTCATTACAGTCAGAATGACTGTTATTCAGAAGTAAACAACCGATGCTAGTGAGGATAGGGAGTGCAAGGAAACCCTTACACACTGCTGGGGGGAATCTGAACTAGTCTTAGCTCTGTGGAGTCAATATGGAGGTTTTTCAAAAACCAAAGGCAAACGAACACTCTGGAGTAACAGGTGGGTGCGTACCTGAAAACTCCGAGTCAGCATATCGTGGAGTACTGTGCAGCAGTGTTTGTACAGCACTGTCGCAGCAGCTAAGCAGTGGACCCAAGCAAAATGTTCAGCAGCAGAGGAGTGGAGAAGGAAATGTGTGAGAGACACACGGTGAAAGCCTTACAGCCATGAAGAACAGTTATATTGTTGGCAGAAAAAATGCTTCAGCTGCATCAGATTGAGCAAGTTAAAGGCAGTCTCAGAAAGGCAGATGCATGTTTTTTTTTCTTTGTGGTTCTTATGTTTTATATACATACATAAAATCATATACATATACACTATATGTCATGAAAGTAAAAATGAAACTGTAGTAGAACAAAGACTAATGGGTGAGGGAGGATGGGATATAAAGGAACAACATATGCTTAATGTGTAATATGTTCACTTGAAATTTTAAAAATAACTTGGTCTATTAGTTAGTGATTTCTAAGATTTTCTGTTAAGCTAACTCTCTTAAAACTTTGAAATAAGTTTCTTTTGTGTCTCTTGGGTTCCACTGGCCTAAGGGCTTTTCCTCAGAGTTGCACTTCTTTCTTGACTGGTTCCGTTTTAGTTGTTCCGTAAGTGTGCCTGTCACAGCTGCCTGTCAGCAGCATTTTATTTTTGGTTTGTCTCTGGCATCTATCAGGTATAATCGTGATGCAGCTATGACTGCAGCAGCTTTGATAGATTGAGCCAGAGTTGGTTCTGGTTGGTGATGAAGAAGCTCTGTGTGGGCAGCTATTTGTTTTCGTGCTCTGGTATGAGACTTAGGGTTAAGGGAGGGAGCATTGCAGTGGAGCATAGACCCTCTGTTCTCCAGTGTAGCTCAGTGTTGGCCCTTTGAGTTGCCTCCGAGGCTGTTTTCACTCATCTTCTTTCTGTGGAAATGAGTGTGAGGACAGTATACTGTCCTTACAAGGGTAGTGGAGAATGGATGGGAGTGTATACCCAGAGCATTGTGTTCTTCAGGGAAAAAATACAAAGCTTATTTTGCACATAAAATTTTAAACAGTGCTTCTTCCAGCTAATTTCAAAGACTCCTCATGTGAAGCTTCTTGTCTGCCTCAGTAGAACATGATTTAGCCTTTTCTTTACCATATTCTTTGCTTACCTGTTCTCTGCCTCATAGGAAGTGCAGCATACTTCTCTTCCTTTCTTATATAAGCCCTCAGAACAGGGAGAAGGAATGGTGAGTCCATGGTTGCTCACTTCAGCTCAGTGTGCAGGTATTTCTTTGGATCATAGACTTGCAGTACCCTTTGAGAGTTAGACTGTGCAGTGTTTTGTTTTTCACATGAGAAAGCTCTTCCTGCTGAGATGGCACTGGAGTGGAGATCAGAAGCCAGGCTCCCAGTCACCTTGTTTTGTCTTCTTTTTAGTGGAAAATACTAGGATTTTATCACAAAGTCATTGTTGAATGTTGCTGGATAATTGGTGAACCTGTCTCCTAGATTTCTGTTCTCTTAGAGGCTGTGGGTGCTCAGGTCCTGTGGCATGCCTACATTGTCTCTGTCCTCACACCAAGAGCCTCTGGAATAGCTGTTTGGTCCTTAGACTTGATTTGCATGGCTCTTCTCTTCCCAGACTTTGGCTTGTGGTTACATTCGCCTGAGCTTGATGCAGGTGCTGAAACCTGTGCTGAAAGGTTTAGCACACTGTGTTCCCTTCTTAGTACTGGTGTGGGAAAAAATGTAGGAAGATGGTGAGGTGTGATGGCTCCTAGCACTCGACGGGCAGAGGCAGGTGGATTTCAGGGCTAAATAGAGAGACCCTGTGTCAAATTTTTTTTTAAATAAAATTTGAAAAAGTAGGAAGATTTCATTGCAAGAAATTTCTGTAACAGAAAAGGCTATTCGGCTGCATTTAAATTACCTAATTTTTGAAAGTTAATGGTCTTAAATGGTCACAAATTTAAGTGTGACTATTGGGAAGTCCCTGACATGGCTGTGTGCTTCTTGTGCTGTGAGAGTGGTTTTTTTCTTTTTTTCTATGAGGTCTTGTAACTGGTTTGGGGTCTGCTTTAGCCCATATGCATATGCAAGCAGTTGTAAATATGTGTCTCTGCATACCATCTTTAGCACAGACAAGTTCTACCTCCATGCCTTTACCACATGTACCCATTGTCGATCTGGCACCACAAGGGCAGCACTGGTCACTTCTGCTTATCTCCATGTCCTCAAATGTTCCTTCTTGGTACACCTCCCCAAGTCTTCTGGCTCAGGTAGCTACCCATGGCACTCAGAGTTCCCATCCTCTGCTTTTGCCCCCTTCAAGCAACAGGGTGATTATTAGACTATACTGAGATCATTCAGCTCTTCTTGTAAACAACAATGCTCCTTAACATTTTGGTTTGCGTCTGTGCATTTCTGTAGGAATAATTCCATAAAGGTAGTTTCAAGACCAAACGTATGTTTCTGTAATTAATTACAAAACTAACTTTGTAGAGCTGTGATAAATCTACATGCCCGTACCCACTACGATGCACAAGAGCTCCTTCTTACTCAGACCTCTGGGCCTTGTGAAGGTTAGATGAAAAATATGGTAGCATATAGTGAGGTGTGAAAAGTACATGCCTTCAAGGCCAATACTCTGGAGGCCGAGACAGGCCAGCTGGATTATATAGGAAGACTGTCTTAAGCAACAAAATTTTAAAAGTAACATTTAGATCCAGTGTAAACTTAAATTTCTCTGAATTCGTTCTCTCCCTGATTCCCTAATTTCTGTTAAGTTATTGCTCTTTTTTCAGGAGCTTTCTGTGGATAGAGAGATCAATATTTTGTGATGTGCACACACACACACACACACACACACACACACACACACACACGCACGCGCGCACACACACACACATGCTAAGACTACAATTTTTTAAATAGTTATTTTATGTGTAGGAGTGTTTTGCTTGCATGAACATCTGAGTATCATGCACATTATGCACATTCTGGAACCAGTTATAGATAGTTGTGAATCACCATGTGGTGCTAGGAATCAAACCCAAGTCCTCTGCCAGAACAGACACTCTCAATCTGAGCCATCTTTCCAGCTCCCACAATATATATTAAAAACAAACAAACAAACAAACAGGAAGCGTGACCCATACAGGAGTGTGGTCTTAAAATGTATTTGTTTTAACCTTTCTCTTATTTCACAGTTTGAATGTGTGCCAAAAGCATTTTTTATTTTAAATCACATTTTTATCTGTCTATCATCTCTGTCTGTCTATCTGTTTACCTATCTACCTACCTACCCATCCATCCATCCATCCATCCATCCATCATCTATCTATCTATCCATCCATCTAAGTGAGAGGACAGCTTGCAGGAATTGATTCTCTCCTTTCACCTGTTGGAGTCTGTGGTAGCACTCAGATCAGCAGGCTCAACAGCAGACTCTAACTTGCTGAGCATCTCAGCGATCCTCTCCTATTTCCTTATATGCAGTGTTACTGATTCTGAATGTCTCATCTACTCCGGTTCTTTGTGAGTAAACTTTATCATGTCCTTTTTAGAACTAATAGGACCTTCTTAAAAACACTCAAATGTTATCAAAGAACATGAGTTTAAGTCATTCTGCTCAGCTCTAAGGAAGTCTTCAGCAGAAAGGCATAGTTTTTACACTTCTGAAGAATTAGCTTATTAGAATTTCTGGAATATTCGTTGTTTAAGTAAATGACTTTCTCCTAGCCTTTCTATTGAGGTTTATTTTTGTAGTTATCTTTCTAGGTTTTTGTTTTTGTTTTTTTTTTAATTTTTGGTCCAGTAATTTTTTTTCATAACTTCTTAGATTCCTGCAAGGTTATAAATAATTTTCTCTGTTGCATTTCAGAGGTCTGTTTTTTCACCATCCATCAACTGAATAAATTGACAATTGGATATGCCTGACAAAGTATGCAGCCTTGATGGCTTCTGTGTTTGAAGAATTATTATTTTAGCTAGAGCATGGCCATCACACCAGCTCCTTGGATGACAGTCAGTTTCTGAAGCAGGCTGCTTCTGCAGATCCAGCTGTTGCCCAGAGCTGGCTCTAAGCTCTTCACACATGTGCCCTTGTGTCTGTGCCTGCCTTCTTCCAGCCAGATGTCCTCCAGCCCATGACATCTGTACTGTGTGCCATTCTTTCTTCCTGTCTTCACAGACATGCTTCACATCTCATTCGCGCTTTGATTGTCTCTTTGTTTGGGGCTTCGTTTGTTTGTGACTGTCACTTTGGGTAGGTCTCAGCAGATCAGAGAGGTTCCCAAAGTGGTGTTTTCTGCCAGCACTCCTGGAAGCATGCCTTGTCCAGTTACCTCCTTTGAGGATTTGTTTCGTTACTCTGGTTAGGTTCTGTCAGAAGCATGCATACCCAAATTTGGAAATTAGCATGTTGTATAAAACTACTGGGAGTTTGTTAAGGTGAGCTTCCACCTGGGAAGTGCCAAGACCTGTGTCAGGTGTTTTTTGAAAGTAGAAATTCATAGCTAGATTAATTTGTCCAATATTTGTCATGAATATCAGGAATGAGCTGCGCCAGGTAGTCTTTGAAATTTAATTTCATATACCTGTTAGAAAAAGAATTTTAATATAAGTGTTCCCAATGTCTGTTTAGTATATGTATTTGCAAATACATGTTGACTTCTCTAGTGCAAAATTTTCAGATTAAGGACATGTTCCTTGTTAACATCTGGGCAAATAATTAAAAAAAAAAAAGAAAGAAAGAAAAAAGAATTAACACAGGCCTGGAGAGATCACTTGGTGTTTAAGAATGCTGGCTACTCTTATAAAGGACCTGCATGAGCACCAAGTGGCTCACAGCCACCTGTAACTCCACCTGTAGAGGCTCCGGTGTGCTCTGGCATCACAGCCACCCGCGTGCTGCGTGTGCCTATGCACATACTCATAAAATAGCAAGTCTTTTTAAAATAGAAGACTAAGTGAGACAAATACAGGTTATATTTTCTTGTCTTAATTATTGAGCTTATACCTTTGTTGTGTCATGCACTCTGCTTTCGATATGCTGGCTGGTCGTGTGGTATGAAGAGAAGAACCTTTTCCTAGCAGCTCTCAGTCCATAGTGGAGACATACATTCAGGCAGGAAGGGGCATACCCGTGACAGGAAAGTAGACCAGACAGGTTCTGTCCAGATTGGGCTCACAGGGAGAGAAGGGTGACTGAGGCTTGATTTCAAGAAGAAGCAAACTAAAAGGCCAGGCATGGTGGCACATGCCTTTAATTCCTGCACTCAGGCAGCAGGGCCAGGTTGATCTCTGTGAGTTCAAGGCCAGCCCTATCTATGTAGTGAGTTCCAAATAAGACCCTGTCTCAGACAAACAGACAAAAACAAAACTGAAGGAACTTGTTTCCTGGACAAAGACCAAGCTATGGTTATACCCTTATACCCTTTGTAGCCGCTAAGGGAAAGGATAGGCCAGCCACACTTGTCTTTTGCCAGAAAGTTTTGCATGAGCAGCCCAGGTATTCTAGGCACCGTGGTCCAGGACCTTAAGAGGTCAGAGAGATTGCCAGTGGCTGTCTATGTAGCCACTCGAGGGGAGAATGGAGAGCAGATCCTCATGGAAAGGAAGCTCAACACAAGAGCAACGTTGAGGATTCCCTCCAGAACATCAAGCTGAGGCATCTGCAGTCTCTAGTTGCAGGGGAGATGAAAGGAAGCACCCAACTCTTGTCTCTCCTGCTTGCCTCCAGCCTGAGAACCAATATCCATAACTATAGAAGATGAAAAGATTTGGGTAGAAAGTCAGCAGCTTCCACCACAATACATGACATTTCTAGTAACAATAAAGAATTTTTCTAAAGGAGCTGATAGAGCACAGGTTGCTTGGAATATGGACTAGGTTGGAAGAGCTTTCCTCACAGAGATTCTTGGTGAGCCCAAGTGTCACAGTGTCTGCATGGCTGGAATGTAGTAGTTGCCTCCTTCACAAGCAAGATGATTTTTCTCCTGGTGTGTTTTCAGGTCTCTGTGGCCCTTAGCAGTGGCTCCATCCGAGTGGCCATGTTGGAAGAAAATGGAGAGCGAGTCCTCATGGAAGGGAAGCTCACCCACAAGATCAACACTGAGAGTTCCCTCTGGAGCCTTGAGCCGGGCAGGTGTGTTCTGGTAAGTGTGGTCACCTGTGTGCAGAGCTCCCAGGTGGGTTTCGAACCTGCTGTGATGCCTGGTTAACCAAGTCTTTCCAGCGAGCAATGAGGTCTTTAATTACAGTAATTGGAGCAGACTATTAAGTCTGTATCCCTCAAGTATTTGTCACCCCCTCCTGTTTGAAATCTATCTCCATGAGCCTTTCCATTTATATCCTCCACCCCTCAGAGGTCTAGTGATTCCCAAGAGCCCACTTTTCCTATATATAAAGACAGAAACAAGTACATTAAAATGAAAATGGATGGTGCGTTTTCCTAGATGCCAGTCTAGATTTGTTAAGTTCACTGAGTAGATGTCGCCTAGTCTCTGGCAAGGCATAGGTAAAATTAAAGAATATGACAGTGAAGTGTGAACTCAAATGAACCGATCACTTGCCACTCGTCAGCAGACCCCCCAGCAATTGGGCTGTATGCTTGGCAAGATGTGTCTGCACCTAAGCCCACTCTCCTGTCATAGCTCTGACCCCTGTTAGTGATGACTGACTATATGCTGGCACCCAAGAGAAAAATTGCAGCACAGCGTATCTTGGACTAACTTGTTTCCTCTTTCTTCCTACAGAGGGAACAAGCTAGGTAATAAGAGAGATAAAAATGAAAAGAAAAACAGTAAGGCTTTGGATGAAAAAATTCCCTGCAGGCATTCTTCACATATGCAACATATAAAATAAAGGAAGTATCTGTTAGATTGTACAAGAGGTGCTCAGTGGTAGCCAGCCTCTCTGGGATATCCTGGTAGTACTGGTGGATAAAGAAGAAAGCTCTTGAGCCCACAGTGGTTCTGTCTTGGCTACACTTGTGTTTCAGAGAGAAGCATGGGCCAGGGACTGAGTGAACTGGACTCAGTAAGTGCTTGCAGGAATTGGGAGTGTGTTCTGCCTCATCTTGCTAGCAAATCCAAAAATAGAATTTACTGTCGCGCATGTGGAGATGACCCCTTGCCTAGGTCTGTGCCTAAGTGCTGTCGGGTTCCTGCCCTGCCCCAATTTCTCCTACGGTTCCCCAAGGCTCATGTGATAGTATGTGGAGTTTTCAGAGGTGCGGCTGGATCTGGTCTAACCTGTGTTTTGCATCTCCCAGCAACCAGGCCTACCTTTTGCTGATGGTCAGAACTGATGATATCCATAGGGACTTGGCCCAGGGCTCTCTACCAGGCTATATCTGTATGATTATTGTTCTGTACCTCACTGTTGCACATACCTTGGCAGGGCAGCATTCCATATCCAGAGAAAAGTACTGTTCTGCATGAGATGTGCCCATTGCCTCTGAAGGTTGACTTTGGGTGTCAGCATTATTGGGCTGAATGAAGTGGTAAAACATAGATGTGTCTGCAAGGATGTTTCAGAGAAGACTTGCATGTGTGACAGTGATCTGAGTAGAGAAAACCTATCCTAAGTGTGGGTAGCACAGAACCATGCAACAGGCTAAGCCCAAACTGAACAGGCCGTGGAGGAAAGGAGACGACATTTCATCTCTTTCTGGGTCTCCCTTCCCAAGCATTTATGCCTTTTACCTTGGATATCAGCCTCCAGCTTCTCTGTTCTTTCAGCTCTAGGGTTTTTATGAATGACCATCGTGCCTTCAGTATCTAACTGAGGGTATATACCACAGACCTCTCTCATTCTGAGGTTCTGACTTCCCTGGCTTTGCACCTTGTAGATGGCCTTTGTGATCATGTGAGTCAATTTAATATGTATTATATATTCCATAATATATTCTTAACATAAATTGTATATGTGTGTGTGTGTGTGTGTGTGTGTATATATATATATATATATATATATATATATATATATATATATATAT